TTTCTTTTTCCTTTTTCAGGAAAAACAAATGCTGGATTGAGTTCCCAAACATTTTTAAGTATATCCAGTTTTTTATCCTCGCATGTATTATCTTCTGAAAAAAGTCCAATGTCATATGGGTGGGAAGTAACACTTTGAGGGCCGCTTTCACATTCATCAGATTCTGTTACGCTAGAAACGTTTTCTTCAACGGAAGTATAACATTTCTGTTCAACAGAAAAACTAACATTGGTACTAGATGCTGTCACCTCACTAATTTCATGTCGTGATTTTTTCTCAGAGTAATTAAAAATTGTTAAATTCTTGCGTTTTGACATCCTAAAGATCCAAGAACAGCAAAAATATATACATATATATTGGCACAGAAATATCCGCTAAGCCACGATCTCAAAGTTTCGAGCTGGAATGAATAACTTCAACGAGCACAGTGTCTCCAAAACAAAACAGATTTAGATACAAGCCCCGAAAGACAGACAAGCGGCAGAGATAACTCTTAGTTTGACTAACTAACTCCACTGTACTCCGTTCCCCCTTTCATATAATTTTTTTTACCGCATCTACAAAATTCTCGAATTGTCTCAAAGACGACAGAACGTCTAGGATTCCAGACCTCGCGAATGCCAGCCAGTCACGAAAACTATCGCGAATGGCAGGACAGAAAGGAACCAGCGATTGGAGCTCGCCCGTAACAGTATCACGTGAATTTGGTTTCAAAAGTACAACCCTATAATAGTAAATGTTTTTTCAGTATTCTGAGAAATACCGTGAGAAAAAAAGTAGGCATAAGACAAATAAAAATATATAGTCTTAAAAAATAATAGCCAGCATAATTTCTACTGAAATTTTTATTTCTGTCTGTATTATTTTGTAAATTCACTTTGTCCGAGCTCAAGGGGGGGGGGTTTAAACCCCTAAACCCCCCCCCCCTTGCGTACGCCCCTGGTAACACTTCCAGGTTACTACTTCCGATTGATTTTTACGGCTGAGCTTGAAAAAAAAAGCGATATCCAATATTATTATACTTGTAGTGTTTACAATAGAATGCGTCCTTTACATTTAAATTTCAACAGAACAAATAATAAAATAATTCGGAATACTTCGTAAGCATGCTATGATGCAACTGAAAAAATATCAAATGGTGATATTTTACAAAAGTATAGCCAAATAAGAAATAATACTCAACCCATGTCAAACCTTATACTTTATGTTGTGATATCAATTTTCTTAAATTTCTTTTAGGCTCACGACCTGCTAGAATTTATAAATTACAGAAAACTCCTATTAATGGTAAAATTTTACGCTTAAATTTAAACACAAATCATAATAATAAGACTTCTTAGAATACTAAGCCCGTTTACACATCACCTCGTAAGCAGAACATAAGCGGAGGAATACACCGGAAGTTTTCTAAATTTCTTCCGGTTTTAGGAGGCTTATTATTGTTTACATTCAGTCAACCATCCATATGGTAAGATTCCCAGAAATCCAGGAAAACAATATCAAATGATGAGGAGAGATAGTGAAGCACGTGCGCTGCATTTTTGAAACAGTTAAAAACGTTTGTATTTACTTAGTATTCAACGATGGCTATAAAATAAAATCATGGTTGTGGTGATATTTTGAACAACAGTTCTATGATAAGAAATGTTAGACTTACTCTCTGACGAAGTACTTCGCACTTGAATTTCTGCCGAAGGGCTTCGTCTCTGTTGAGTTGGTGAGATTGCTGTGCCTGAGAAATTTCTGTCACCGCCCGCAGCAGCCAACTCCATCTCTCTCTCGCCCAATCGTCCAAGCATTTCTTTCGACGGTCCTTGTGGAATCGGTTGTTCTGATACCAGGTCTCATACGACATCTGTAACATCAATTAAATAGGGTGAATTGCACAGAAGTATTTAGCAAACTTATGAAAACAGGTCGGTTGTGTCTTATTCTTGCCCAGTCTTAAGGCCTGTTCACACGGTCTAAGTTCTTTCCCAAGAAATTGGATGATTCGTCGACACTATCCAAGTTCTTGAACTACACTGATTGGTCGGATGAAAATCCTGCGCATTGTTCATATTTAGCATTATAAAATCATATTTAAATTAATTTAAAATTACTAAATAAATTCAAATAAAATCATAATAACATAAATAGACCCTAACAAACTAATTTATTTGGATTAAAATACATGGAAACGGACAACAAAATGACAGAATCTGATGCCTACTTGTTGAAGTCTCAGAATTTTAAAAGCTGATTGCGGGAGGAAAAACTTGGATGGAAAGTATAATATAATCTGCTATCATCCACGGACTTGGAATTGGAATGATTGTTTGCGCGATTCCAAGCAAATCAAGTTTCCATCAATTTCGATCAATCTTCGTCCAAGAATTTGGGTCGTATAAACAGGCCTTTATTCGGTATTCGCATCAATTTATCGCGAGTACAATTCGTCGCCGGCACAATGTGTCGTAGATACAAGTTGTCGTGAGTACAATTTCTTGGAGTTTAGGTGAAAGAAAGCTACTTACAAAGGCCCTTGCATNAATAGTCTTAAGGCCTGTTTACACTGTCTAAATTCTTGAATCCGAGAACTTGGAGGAATTTCTCTCTATCCAGGAAATTGGATGATTCGTCGACAGTTCTTGAATGTCACTGATTGGTCGGATGAAAAACCTGCGCATGCGCATTGTTCATTTTTAACATTATAAAATCATATTTAAATGAATTAAAAATTGCTAAATAAATTCAAATAAAATCATAATAACATAAATAGACCCTAACACATTAATTTATTTGGATTAAAATACATGGAAACGGACAACAAAATGACAGAATCTGATGCCTACTTGTTGAAGTCTCAGAATTTTAAAAGCTGATTGCGGGAGGAAAAACTTGGATGGAAAGTATAATATAATCTGCTATCATCCACGGACTTGGAATTGGAATGATTGTTTGCGCGATTCCAAGCAAATCAAGTTTCCATCAATTTCGATCAATCTTCGTCCAAGAATTTGGGTCGTATAAACAGGCCTTTATTCGGTATTCGCATCAATTTATCGCGAGTACAATTCGTCGCCGGCACAATGTGTCGTAGATACAAGTTGTCGTGAGTACAATTTCTTGGAGTTTAGGTGAAAGAAAGCTACTTACAAAGGCCCTTGCATTCTCAGCAAAGGCTAACTTGTGGTCTTTCAATTATTACTAAAGCACCCAAGTCGGGAGAATAGATTTTTTTTTTTTTTTGCTTATTACTATTTACAAGGGGACGAAGGGAAATGAGTAATGTTTGAGCAAGACACTAATCTTTCAACTACGACACAAGCGAGACGCCTTACTTTCATTTTTTTCAAATGCAAAAAAAGAAAAAGAAAGAAAGAAAGAAAAAAAAATTGGATTAGTCTTTAGCGCCTGGCATAAAAATTATTTTGGAAAAAAATGTACCGTGCGCTAAAAAAAAATCCCTAACTTTTGATTTAATGATCGAATCATCATATTCTAGAACTCAATATTAATAGCTAATTATCGATATTAATCTGGTGACTCGGGTTCAAATCCCAGCTATGTCTGATCGATACGATTTTCGCAGCCGACTTGCACCGACCACTGAACGGTGCAAAATATTTTCAGTGGTAGACGGATCATGGGTTTGAGTCCCCTTGCCATTAGGCTTATCATAATTTTCGTGATTTTCCTCTCCATGTAACGCAAATACTGGTTAGTTCCATCAAAAAATCCTCTCCAGGAGTTCCTTTGTCTTCTGGATTGGGTTCAAAATTACAAGGCTATGAAGTTGAACATTGGTAATCGTAAACTCAAATTTGGCTCGTCTGTTCAACGATGGTTATAAAATAAAAATATTAATGGTTCGTAAGCGTTACCTCAAATATGCTAATTAATTTGCGCAGACGATATTTCAAGTTACGAAATTATACACAAAAACGCACTTTCTTTGAATATCAGACATACTTTTTCTTCGACCAATTTGGATTCTTTTAAATTTTGTCTTTTACCATATAAAATTACATTCTTTAAAATGACTTCTCGATACATGGTGAAATACGCAGAACGTAAAATTAACAGTAAGATGTCCAATGTTTGAATCACTCTCTTGTCTAAAGTACTGGCACTATATTTCCCACATTGCTATCCCCTATATTTCAAGGTTCAGGAATCTGAATCCGTCCAAAAAGAGGCATATTTATTCAGAGAAAATATGTTCTGGTGTTTAATTTTGTTATTTAAAATATGTTTTGGCCAAATTAGTTAGCATATTTGAGATCACCACTTAGAACCATTAAGATTGAGTTCTAGAATTCTAAGATTCGATGTTGTTGAAGATTCTATGTCGAAAATGTTTTTTTTTTCCTAACTGTTCCTAGGTTGAAAAATATCTTTTTAAGTAGCATTTATTTTGGGTAAGAAAAATATTTACATTTGTCATAACATATTGGTCGCAAGAAATGTAATATTTTACACTATTGTTGTTGAAAATATTATATATANTAATCAAATATATATATATATATATTCTCTAATATTATTTTTTAAGCTTAATAAAATTCTAAAGCATATTTTCAGTAATTATTATTTCGTCTTATTATTAATTCATTTAATTTTAGTTTTTGCAGCAGTATTTTTTTGAATTTACAAAAAGAAAGGTTGCTAAACATAGACTAATATTACGAAAACAAAAGACTTTTTTTTAAACTGACATTATAGACGTCTCATCGCGGAAACTGGGGCGTTTTATTGTATGTGACCAGTAATAGTTTCAAACAAAAACATTTTAAAACAAAATGAAAAAAAAAACAGGTTATTCTAAATTTTTTAGCCCCAGCGGTGATATCTCAGAGGCAGACTTTTAACTCTAACCAACTGAAATTTTATCTATCCTATTTATATCGACGAATGATCGCTTTTCATATAAATATTATATTTTAACAACAGAGGCACTGGCAATGAAAGCAATTATCATGTCATAACATTCGTTTTCGTGTTCTCTTCCTTATTGTCGAACAGTTCAGTGTTCAAGAGATACCATCCCAAAACTTTCCTTCAGACCCTAGTTCACTTATATAATATATTTCTTTCAACCTTTGCACTGACATTTTAGAGCTAATTTTTTTCTTGAATAGTCCACCAATAAGTTTGTAGCCTATTTTGTAAACTAATAGAACTGATCACATCGTAAATATTTGCAATGCCGCGCACAGAGCCAGAGCTCGAATATTTAGCCAATGCCGCGTAGGTTACCAGCAGTGGGCGCTCTCAGTACAATCTGATGACATTTTCGCAGAAAACTAAAGATGTATAGTAAGCTTGAGATTTCTGTGCACTTAAAAATTTCATATATTTCCCTACCCCAAACGTATTTGCATTGTTCTTTTCATATCGTTTCGCTTTAACCTCAACTTTTATACTTCATTTCAAATGAGTAAATGTAAGGCTGTAGTAGACATAAATAAGAGTTCTTATAAAAGTGATTTTCGAAACAACTTTAAAATGAAATACGTAGAAGCAGAGTTAAACAACTATCGTACGAAAAAAATTAATACTTGTTGACATAAGTTAGGCCTATCATAATTACAAAATGAAAGAAATCTTACCAATTGTCCAAGTGTCTTGTGAGGAAAGGTTCTCTTCAACCTGTCAAAGACGAGAGCCCTTCTGTCTGGTAAATCGGGGGGATATTGTTCAAGGATGTGTTCGAACACTGCGCAGTCATGATCATTCCATCCACCAGGACAAGCCCTAGGGAACATGTTAGAAATCGAACACCAAATTAGTGGACACATCTGTCTTATTTATTATAATATTCTAATAGTAAATAGGATGAGGATACAAAGATTGCAATCTTAATGATTCTAGAGGATAATTTACAATATGCTATTGAATTCATTAATTCGAACACTGCGTAGTAATGATCATTCCATCCACCAGGACAATCCCAAGGGAAAATGTTACAAATTGAACACCAAATTAGTGGACACATCTGTCTTATTTATTATGATATTAAACAAAATTAAAGAAAAAGAAACGAAAATTTAAAAATAAATTTTTTTGAAAGTTTACTTCGTCATTAACATTTGTAAAAATAAGGTAATGATTTGAAATTTTTGAAATAGAAAAAACTGTTGAGGTTGATTTTATCGTCCAGTATATTTTTTTGGAAAAAAATGTACAATGCGCTAAAAAAAAAAAAAACTTGAATAACCTTTGATTTAATGATCCTATCATCCAGCTCTAGAACTCAATATTGTTGGTTGAGCTGTGATGTACAGCACTCACCTCCCAACGAGGTGACCCATGTTCAAATCCCAACGATAACTGGTAGATACGAATTCCGCTCGACACCGACCACAGTGCTGACATAAAATATAATCAGTAGTAGACGGATCATGTGTTAGAGTCCTCTTGCCGTCAGACGAGCCGTAGGAGGTTTTCATTTTCCTCTCCATGTAAAGCATATGCAGGTAAGTTCCCTCACAAAGTCCTAAACGACGATAAATTTCTCCCAATATTTGAGTTAGGAGTTCCCTTGTCTTTTGGATTGGGTTCAAAATTATAAGGCTATGGAGTTAAACACTTTTAGTCCTAAACCCAAAAATTGGGTCGGCTGTTTATAAAATAATCTGTGTGAAATTAACTTTAACGAAATAAATGTTTTACAATTTTGTGCAATTTTTTTGAAATTCAATTAATAGTTCAAGAGATAATACCCCGAAAGTAAGAATAACATTAAGAGATCCAAACTTTCGATCTGACAGATTCGAAAACTAATTAAATTACTGAAACACTATTTTCGAGATTGCAGTTACTCCCCCCCCCCACGTCTGCTTTACTACATTGCGTGATTTCTCCCCAGCCCAATAGGTTAAGGTAGATGAGCAGACTAATTTGAAAATGGAACACTAAACAAAAGTTAATAGAATATCTTTTGTTCTGAAAAGGATAACGAACTTTCGATTTGAATGATGGCGTCATACTGAGCTATGTGCATCGAAATTCTCAGTAAAGACAATTTCGAAACTTGGAAAAGCCAAACGAAAGCTTTACTGGTAAAGAGTAATTCCCGGAGAACTAATTTCTGCTGATATAATCTTAAGAAGAATTCGACAAGTGGATTGAGATGAGCGAGTAGGCGAAAATCGATCTCCCTCAGAACTCAAGTTAATCAACAACAAAAAAAATGAGAAACTTGAATTTGGAAAAAGCTAAAAGAAATTTCCCGATCTAAAGGACCCTCTAGAAAGGCATCGCTTTTGAAATCCTTGATTCTGGGAAATATGGTCCCCATAGTTTAGTCAGGAGAGCGCTTCAAAGTTTGGACCCTTTAATGTTAATTTTACTTTTTACGTATTTCGCCATATCTAAAGAACTTGTTAAGCGAATTGAAAAATTTTTGGAACACAATTATAAGAAATCGTTTACCCAAAGATAATTCCATGCAGATTTTGGATTTTAAATATAAACATCAATGACTTTATCCATCCACCATCAAATGTTGACAGATTTTTCAGTTTGTAGATGGAACAGCGATGAAAGCTTGACGATGCATGTCTGATGCTTGTAAAACTTGGTTGAATGTTATTATTTACTCTCGCTCTTGTTCTGTTATGTATTAGCGTAAAATGTCCTTAAATAAAATGATTGTTTCGCTACATTTCGTGATTTGCTCTGTCCATATGTTAAGCTTGGTGAATATTTGAAGTTTAACCTCCAATGGCGGTTAGAATTGTTGGAGACCAGTTTGTCTGGTAACAATGTTGGTCATCATGCCGTTGGTCACGCAATTAAGAATCATTGACCCCCCCCCGTGTGACCGAAGCAACGTAAGTGTAGAAATGTTGCAATATATTCCGAATAGTTGGTCCTGTCACTCTTTCTTCATTCATAAAAAATTCAAGATGGGGCCGGGATAGCCTGGTCGGTAGGGCTCTGGGCCCATGTCCGAGAGTTCGTGGGTTTGAACTCCCCCGGCCGAAGACTCCCCGTGTAGTAAATGGTGACTGATGCACGTTAAACTGTCGAGTCGCAAAGTCCTCCATGTTCCCATAACAAATCAATACCTCTGGGGGAACTGGATTGGAGATCGATCGTTCTCTGATTCAGGTCAAAATTACGATCTGTGAATGAATGAATGGATGCATGAATGGGTTCACTCTATACGTATGGTGCGGCAGAAGTCGAATTCTTGGCCATAAATGGCGCCACTGGAAAACAAGAAACCCCTCTGCATAAACAGGCATACGAAGGCAAGCAAGCAATTCAAGATGTTTATTGAAAGTAACATGCAGGTGAAGGCAAGAAAAACAGTAGGTTGAATCAATTTTTTCAGATTTTGCTACCCATTGACAATGAGAAATCTTTGTTTTAGAAGCACAAAAATGTTTTGGGACAAATGTTTTTAAACCCGTGTTTACGAAGTGTGACTTTCTTTTTATTTTCCTATGTTTTTTAAAAAAGAGAAACAAAATTTCGGTAAAGATATTGACAGGATGTAGTTCAGACTTACTAATGGGTGCTAAAAAAAACATTGCGTTTATGGAAAAGAAACGGAACTTCGTGTATTGGTGGCAGTAACGAGGAGTCGTACTACAGTAACAAAACTATGCATGAAAACATATGTTTCATTAACTTGTTCGGTCCTTTTAGAAAGAAAAACAAGACTAAATTTTGAACTTCTGTGGAACCTTAAGAATTGAACATAATTTAAATGATTATAATGAACAACAAATCATAACCTTGAATAAAGAGTAAAATAAAATCTTAGAAACCTTAAATGTTGCTCAGGAAGACGCTGCGCCCCCTTCCGATTGAGTTTTCAAGATTTAAAAAATAAAAAAAATCTCATTTGTTTCAATTTTGCATAAGGTTTTTTTTAATTTCTAATTTTTTTGATTTTTTATAAAATAAACAAATACTTGCTATTTTTGTATTGTCCTTTTGTATTGTCCCAAATACCTGTTATTTTGTATTCTCATTTAATTGTTTATTACGGTCTTTTTTTTGTTGCTTTTTTGAAGAGGGTTAAAAAAAGTAAAAGTACATATGCATACATATATATATAATGACGTATTTTAAATCAATTGCAATTAGATACGAAAAAAAAAATTATTTTTTTTTTGAATAAAGAAATATATGAATAAAATATTGAGATTTTTAGCGACTGTTGTAAGAGTGCTACAAGCTTAGTAACAAGTGATTTGATAGTTACTGTCTGTCGCAGTTTCTATCCAGGTCTCGAAGTCTGAGGGCGTAACTATCGTCCAGCCTGGTCAGTTCGGCGATCAAGTTCTCTTTGAGCTGGGGATCGGGACAGTAAAGCTCGTGAAATTCCGAAGGCACACCTTTCGCTACCATCTTGTCTTCGGCTATGTAGGGAGGAAGTGCTGCAAAAGAATTACCCTTTATATGGCATGTTTTCATTGATCATGTAAAAAATTATTATTAGACTGCAAATAATAGCGAGAGGTAGGTAAAAATAATAACTATCTTGTCGCTTTGGAATAGGGTAATTTCAGTAGTTTTATGCGTAGCACTTAAAATACCTCCGCACGTAAGTATATAATTTCAGTAGCTTTATACCAAGCACGTAAAATACCTCAGCACGGAAGTATATAATTTCAGTAGCTTTATAGGTAGCACGTAAAATACCTCCACACGGAAGTATATAATTTCAGTATCTTTATAGGTAGCACGTAAAATACCTCCGCACGTAAGTATATAATTTCAGTAGCTTTATACCAAGCACGTAAAATACCTCCGCACGGAAGTATATAATTTCAGTAGCTTTATACGTAGCACGTAAAATACCTCCGCACGGAAGTATATAATTTCATTAGCTTTATACGTAGCACGTAAAATACCTCGAAGGAATACATCTTATGCAGTCCCTCGCTAAATTATTAGACGCACTATACGATTGTGCAGCATCTTTTATTTCCGTTTCTGTTTCAAGTCGTCCACTGACTCAATTTTCTTCTTGATGCGTCGTACGCTAGCTTCAAAAACCTTCAATCATCGAGATATTTCGCGGTTGGAAAGTATTTTCTCATTCACGAGGGCCTTTACTTCAGCTTTTTTTACATAGTGAAAGATCGCCTTTTTTTACCCATGATGAAAATGTTCCAATTGATTTTTTAAAAGCCGCACACAGAATAAACAAATAAGCTGCGAAACAAATAAACGCAGCTCATAAAGCCGCAGAAACACGCCCGCTGCTCACGCACGCGAGAACGAGGCTGAAACCGGTATGCACTTGTTTACATTCGTGTATCAATTGGTCTGTAATACGTTAAAAATAAATATAAATGGGAAGGACAAAAAAAAAATCTCCTGAATAAAAACGCATTACACGTATGTTTAAATATAAAAGTACTGCATATAAACTCGTGCAAAACCTGTAATTATTAAAAAACTACCGTGCGTCTCTGCATCACTGGCTGCGGTCAGTGACCACTTAGATCAATATACGAAGGAACCGAGAGTGTGCGGTATCGGTCCTCGTTAAGCTGTTCTACCGTAAAGTGCTCGCTACCGAGTACCATCCCCTCTGCAGAGGATCAAAATTGTGATGGCATGTCTTCGGATCATCCTCAGGGATATTTCCCAGACCGTCGCCAATGGCCCATTGTGCAGCTCTAGTGTGACGTAAATAAACTACAACTACAAAACCATTTCCATATTTTCCTCACTATTTTCGTAAACATTAGTTTAGTTAAAAAGATTTTAGGGCCATTGTTTTCTGATGTATAAAAAGTAATAAAGTGAAGGGAATAAGTGTTACAGACCTTCTTTGACTTGCTGTTCAAGATCTCTTTGTTCTTTGAGAATGTCTTCTGTGATTTCTTTGTAGCCAGCCCAAAGTTCTTTCACTTCTCTCTGTATCTGGTAGTGCTGCATTTTAGCCGATTCAGAGAGAGGCCGAAGGCCTTCGTGTTGCCTAACCCATTCTTTCAGATCTTCCCTGTAAAGACACATGTAATTATTATCTCATCGACACTCTTGGAGATATCTTGAAAAAAATACACATTATATCCAAGAAAAAATGGTTTGTATATTTATCGTAATATTTTGCGGAAAGTTATATATTGATACCAACCCTCTCTGCTAATCGTCTAGCCTGAAAGGGTGCGTAGGGGGCACCCCCTCGGCAAAGGATCATAATTGCGTTGGCATGTCCTCATGTCTTCCTCGGGAATGTTTCCCAGACCGGGGCCAACAGCCTATTATGCTCCCCTTGCTCCGAACTTTCGTGGTTGTCTTCTCCATGTAACGAAGGAGCCGTGATGCCACAGTTAATAGAGTTTTTGCCTTTCAATAAGGTAAACCGGGTTCGAGCCCCAGCGATGGGTGGTCGATACGAATTCCGCATCCGGCTTGCACTGACCACAATGCTGACGCAAAATATCCTCAGTGGAAGATGAATCATTGGTTATAGTCCCTTTGCCGTCATGTTAACCGTGGGAGGTTTTCGAGGTTTTCCTCGTATGCAAATGTGGGTAAGTTCCATTAAAAAGTCCCCCACAAAGGTAAATTTCTACTAATGCTTGATCCAGGAGTTCCCTTGTCTTTTGAATTGGGCTCAAAATTACAAGGCTACGAATTTGAAAATTAGAAGTCGTAAACCCAAAAAATTAGGTCGGCAGCCCAACGACAGTTATAAAATAAAATTAAAAATATAACGAAACTGTGGGTTAGTTCCATCAAAAAGTTCTCCACAAAGGCTAGTTTGCACTAACGTTTGAATCAGGAGTTCCCTTGTCTTTTGGATGGATCAAAATTACAAGGATACAGAGTTAAACATGGATAGTCTGAATAGGGTCGGCTTTTATAAAATAAAATAAAATAGCCTAACATAAAAAAAGTTCTTCTAAGAGAGATTAAAACTGCATTAATTACCTTATGTACCAAAGAGGATCCACAACATTTTCTCGGAAGAAAGCTTTTTCCTCTTCAATTTCCAGAATAAAGTTAATGTTATCGGCCAGAAGAAGTTGACCGTCTGACCCTAACTGTCCGTAAATGGTTAAATGATTGTAAATCTCCCTTTGTAGCCTATCTTCCATGTACTGCAGGTGCATGTACTCTTGCTCCCAAATCACTTTGTGCTGATAGAGAAGAGCTAGTTCCTTCTTCGAATGTGTCACCGTCTTATAATGATCAGCCCGTTCCAGAATACGATTCGTTTGCTTTCTTGCGGCTTGCAAGGGCTTCAACGCTCTCGTGGGCGATACGTCACCTTTCATCCGGTTAACACCTGGATTATACCACACTCATATTAACAATTCAAATAAACTAATTCTATACACTATTCAGAACATAAATAAGGCGATTGTTGCTATGATGCAATTAATATAAGCAGACTAGGATCAGAATAATAATTTATTTAGTATTCCTTAAACTGATTACATTTGCACACTCATATTAACAATTCAAATAGATTAATTCTATACACTATCCAGCACATAATTAAGACGATTATTCTTATTGATATAAGCAGACTAGGATCAGAATAATAATTTTTTTAGTATTCCTTAAACTGAGTATATTAGTACACTTATATTAACAACTCAAATAAACTAATTCTATACACTATTCAGTACATAAATAAGACGATTGTTGTTATGATGCATTGATATGAGCAGACTAGGACCAGAATAATAATTTTTTTAGTATTCCTTAAACTGATTACATTAGCACACTCATATTTACAATTCAAATAGATTAATTCTATACACTATCCAGCACATAAATAAGACGATTATTCTTATTGATATAAGCAGACTAGGATCATAATAATAATTTTTTTTACTGATGAACAATATTATACAAAAACTGTTTACTATTCACTGCTAGTTGATGACTCATTTTTCGTACGAATAAAAAAAAAAGTCAATAAATCAATACCATGCACCAAACTGAAAGGCATATACCGACACAATTAATAAAGCTGATATAATTTAAAATATTTTTTTTCATTTATTGTTCTTATTTCCCTTCCCAATGGCTTTCCATTGTTAAAATAAGTTTTTCGTAGTTAATCCTATCAGAATAGAAATTAACTGTATTCAGCATCACTTGACATGATGTTACTCCTCTCATGATATTCAAAGTTAACCACTATCAAGTAATTTTCACTCATACATATTCCTTTCGAAGGACCGAGAGACACTCATTTTCTAAGTATTGATATTAAAACTGTCCAACATTGGTGCAGTTTCATTAATTACCAAAGATATCAATATAATGCTTTATACATGTATTAGGTACCTATGTTACATTACATAACCCTATGAAATTTAAGTTTCGTGCGGAATACATTTATCAGTGGTAGCAAGCTAAAGTCGAAATTTTAAAAACAAATAAAATTCTTCGCTATTTTTAATGATTGTTTTTCCTATTTATTTCAACAAAACTGTTTCTCAGTCTCTTTGCATCTTCGAGCATTATTTTGATTTTCTCCTTAAGTGCCATTTGCCTCATTAACACCCATAAGTCTTTTTTTTAGTTATAATTAATTAGTTGTTTCAGCTGGAGTTTACTATCTCATGATATTCACACCCTCTGAAATGTTTGGTTAATATATAATAATTTGAATAATGAATAATTTGGTTATATTATTATTATTTTTTAACATTTCCAATGAGCTGCACTATCGGTCTTGCCGATGAGCAGACCTAGTGCGTTCTCCAGAGGTGGTATCCACTCTTTCAGGACCACCACAATGGGTGAGAAACCGTTGGTCATGTAAATTTGGATGTCTAATTTTGCCACACTAGATGGCAGCACCGAGACTCTATTTGGATGCTAAAGTGCACTAGGAATTCAATTTTGCCGGAAATGCCAAGAGCCAATAAAGCACTCCAGGGGTCTTTTACATGCAGCATAATCATACGACATGGCAGCTGAGGATTTTCTGCATCCTAAAAATCCGTTGTCTGGGCCGGCTTGGCCCAGACATATTCTAATATATTATATAACGGTCAATGTGAATAGTCGGTTATTATTAATAATAACCAATGAATTTTCGTCAATGTCATTCTTTCGCGCTTTTATTTCTCACTCTGACCAAAAGAAGTGATTTTTATTAGTTTTGACCGGTTGGTATTAATAATAACCACTTTATAATATCACTAATAATTTCACTTTAACCGTAACATATATATTTATTCCTGTTTATAGATCGAATATAGTATCTCACGTGACATGGAATGATTCAAAAAAAAACTTTTTAATTTTTTTCCTTCCTTTACCTCACATTCGGGTAACTATTCTGGATATTTGTATTGTAATTAAAACTATGTTACTTTTCACAGAATGTAAAAACACGATGAAAAAAAAATAATTAGAAGAAAACATTATCCTGATGTATGAATAAGTTATAGTGAAAGTAGCTTATCAGTGAAATAAAAAATTATTTCGTAAATTGCAGTACTATACGTTTTCTCCCATTTAAGTGTTTTTTTGAATGGAGAAGAATTTAAGTTACCTGTAAATCTCAGCATCTTTCTCTTTTTTGGAGATCCCTTGATTGGATCTATTGTCTTCACCGGAGAGCCCACTGAACATACAAACATTATATATATAGCACAATAAAGACAAAAAGGATGAAAAGAGAAAAATTAAGAAAATTAAGAAGTCTTATTTGATGCGCATAAGCTGTAAGTGTATAGAACTCATAAAATAAGTTAGCAATGTAGAGAAAACATGGAAACATTAAAGAGGGTTACTTAACGTGTTCTATTTTGTTTCAATTTTTTTAGTGCTCCTCACACTATTGTATTGACATATTTTGCTTTGGCTAATTTTGTTAATTTTGCTTTGGTTAATTTTCATCTGAATTTGAATAAATTCTTCACCATTTGATACTTGAACGAAACTATAACTTAAAAAACCACCCCTTAATATTGTTTTCAGGAGACGAACGAGCTTATAATGCCATTTTATATTTTCAAAAGAATACGGAATAGATTTTTGTTTTTATTTGTCTTGTTCGAACACATTATAAACACACTTTATTATTTTATTTTAAAATTAAAGTTGGAGACATTTTTTCTATTCACCAATAATCTAACGACTAAGAATTTTGTAAAATACCGTGCAAACACGCGCAGTCATAACAAGTTGATCTATGGTGTTAAAGCACGGTGGAAATTCATTGCACAAGCCTATACGGAGAGGCTCTAAATATCTCTTTTAGTAATATTTGCTTCTAACCGATTTTTTTTCTTCTTTCTCAACCTAAACAAATCAATATTTGGTATATTTGTATACGTATATATGGGTGATTCTCACGAAACATGACAATTCGGACCAAAAAATTTCTTCAAATTTAAAGTCCTAAAAATAATCAAAAAATTTTTTTTGTATACTTCTTTAGCTACACTTATTAATATCTTATAGACAGCAGTGTAGTTTATTGACATTTGCTCCAGAAAAAAATAAAATAGAAATTCACCAAATCTTGAATGCCAGGAAAATGACATATTAGCTTAAAAGTTTAAAAAACAGTCATTTTAAGTTAATAGTAAGTAACTCAACTTAAGCCTTTATGTTAGATGGACCATAAATAGCTTAAATTAATTCTTTTTATCCTCTGTAGAAAGAAACATAAAAATTTTTGTTGCTGATATGTGCAGAATAAAATTGTGTATAATAACCAATCATGAAATAAATAAATAACTTTGATTACATCCAAGCATATTACAATCATACATAAACTTGGTATTAGGTTAATATTTGCTTTCCCCCTTTACAGTATTAGCAGTTAAATAGAATTTCTGGTAGCACTTCAATGTCCTGGTATTCATTAGCCAGGATAATGACAAATTCGCCATTTTATAGCATATAACTTTAATTTAATATTTTGGCCGAAGACGTTTATATTCTGCAGAAAACAACAGTATTTCTAAAAATAACTCAGATAAATCTATGTAGTTTTTGTTATTAATGATTTCAAAAAGCCAGGAAAATGACAGCATAAAAACCTACTCACCTTGAAGAATTTTTTGAAATAGATTTTGAGCCAGAAAATTGGTTCTTTATTCATGCAACAAGACATGTTCAGATAGGAGGATATCTAATCTATCTATTAACATAAGATATTGATTCCTGGGGCTATCTATTTTGGTTATAAATCACTAAATAAAAGTAGCCATAAAAATGACAGATTTTCATGGGACAAACAAATTATCGACAGAAAAAATTATTTTAAACGAAGTTTTAGTAAACAATACCCTCTGCGTATATTCTAGAAATGCTTACATAAGATAAGATAAAAAAAATTAGATTTTGAAAAATGTATGGAAAGTTTTGAAGCTAGTTATTATTGGAAATATTGTTTGGAACATACCAGGAAAATGACATTTTGATATTCAATTAAGTTTTTTAAGTATACAAAACAGTCAATGCTAGTGCAAAGTCATTATAAAATGCTAACAGCAATGCTATTTATTAATTTTTTTTTAAAAAAAGTTCTTTTAGTATTATAGTATTAGATCTTGGAGCAAGGGACAGTGAATATCACGTTTCGTGAGAATCACCCATATATACTTCTATGTTTAGTAAAACTTTATTAATTTGATTCATTATTAATTATTTAAAAGCATAAAAATTAATTGTCCAAGTCAAAATTATTGATGGTCTCATCAAAACATTTTGATGGTTTATGTCGGTTTCAGTGCGATTCATGATGGTCTCACATCATTTGATGGACACCATCCTCCAACATTTTCCATTATGCGTTCATAGTTTTTGATATGCCAACAAACTTCCATCATTCCATGATATAAAATGCTACTTTAGTACTATAATGGTTAACCATCAAGGGAAGTTTGATTCTCATGGACCAACAATCCATGATGATCTATGATGGTTCCAACTATACATTTCCATGAGGGTTTAATGGGAGTTCTTGTTGGTTCTCTGGAATATACCATCAAAACAATTCGTTTTTTTTAATGTTGGTCCATCATAAATCAATCCTAAATCTTACATTGGTATGATAATTATTCATGATCATTCCAACATTTTGTTTCTAAGAAACTATGATGGAAATTTCTGATGGTTGAACATTGAACAAATCATCAAAACAAGTTTCTATTATTATGTTGGGTCATCATAAATCAGTTCGAATTCCTACATTGGGGTGGTGATTTTTAATGTTGGTTACCATTAAAAATATATTGGTTCACGATGGAATTATTGATGGGTACCACCACGATTATGTTGGTTCATCAATAGAAAAACATCAAAAATTTAGACGTGGGTAAAGAATAAATTAAAATATTATGATTTACATATTCTCATGAATAATAGAATAAATTAGAAATTTTATGATTTACATATTTTCATGAATAATATAACTAGAATTTCATTTTCTTACCAATTTTTAAACAAATACTATTAGTGTTCTATACTAAATTCATAATTTCGAATTTCTTTAACGCAGAAAGAAATATTATTTTCAAATTTATACAGGTTTTGCTAATATTTTAGAATGTTTTTTAACAAGTTTGGCTATTTTTTTAATAAAGACTTTTATTTTCATTTAAAAATTAAAAGACATATTTCAAAAGAGATCTTCTAAACCGAGTTAACCATAGTAGGGCCTTAACTAACCCTATAATAAGGAAAACAATGCAAATAGAAAAAGTAATCTTACTCGGGCTCTTTTTGTGTCCCGGTGATGAAGTACTGTTAATAGATGGAAGAACCTCAACACTTCTGCTCAAAGCAACTTCTGTCCTATAAAAAAAAGCAGTCATTGTTAATAATTTTCATTCCCTGGGGAATAAACTTTCGATGTATTTTGAATCGAATGCAATCATTTCCAAATTTTATGTAAAAGCAGTACAAGTTTTGATATTTAACTGTTTACAAATTCGTTATTGTAATCTAAACAAATGAAGTGACCTCCACGGCTTGTATTTTCCCCCTCTTACTTTAAATTCAATAAAATCGAAGTAAAGTCGATAGTTTAGAAAAAACGAGAGTTTTTTTCTTTCTTTTCTTCTTTTTTTTTCATGTAAAACTATTTGACTACCCATTTTCGTTCGGAGAGGGGGGGAAAAAAGAAAATCTATATTATATAAAACGCTAATACGTACGTATGTACGTATGTATGTATGTATGTATGTATGTATGTATCAATAAAACCAATGATATTTCTTTTCTAGCGCTGGCAACAGTTTTCATTTTTAATTGATTGGATTCGGCGCGCAAGAGCACGTAGTGAGCAACCAGATAACAATAACCAGAGTGAGCATTATCAGGTTGTTCAATTCAGATTCATGCACTAAAAACATGACAATATTTAATTTAAACTCAATTAGGAATTAATTAATTAATTGAAGTGAGAATGCTTTAAAAGGCCGCTGTTGAATTGATATTTTTCTACTGGGAGCTACCTAAACGTCTAAAAAACGTTTAAGTGTTTGTATTGAATGCATTGAATTTTTTTATATTTCGCGTTTATTTATGCATTGAATTTTCACGCTTTAAAATGCAGAATATTAGTGAAGCAATATTTGATAATTTATTTTGCTAATATGTTTCTTATTTAGCTAATGTTTTGATTTTTTCACCATGTACAATCTAAATAGCTAATATACTTTTTTAAAAGCCAATAAGAACATTGGTAGAATTCTTCTACATAAGTACAATACTATGTCTTTGATGATAAAATACTATGTCTTTGATGATAATATATTATGTCTTTGTGCTAGAACATTGTGTTCATTGGCGAGCGAGCGCAGCGAGCCATGGTTCACGGCGTGAACCACATAGGATTGCGTAGCAATTCTCGGGGGTTGGCGAGCGTTAGCGAGCAGGGGGCGGAGCCTCCTAGTTATCAATAAATCAGAGCTGAACGAAATCATGCACAAAACTTTAAGTTATGTACCAAAATAAATAATACAACTGAAATAATTCCCATTTTTTTTAGTTGTTATTGTTTGTTGCTCTTCAGGTTGTGTTACGTTATTAGTATAAGAAAAACACTTTTTTAGTAGTTCATCCCATTAAAATGAAGATTAACTGTAGTCAGTATACGTTTGGCATAATGCCGTAGCTCGAGGCCAACTCACGATAGCCAAAATTTACAACAATCAATTTATTTTCTCCGGCACTTGTCATTTTAGAGGGACCGTAAAAGACTATTTCTCTCCAGTACTTATAATAAAACTGTACAGCACTGATGCAGTTTATATCGGCATAAAAATATACTAATAGGATACCTAATTTCTGTATTAGTGTATTTGGTAGTTATTAAGACTGCAGCAATTACTATAATACCAGTTGTGCCTATTACCAAAATTAATTAGGCATCATTGGCGATAATAATAGCATGGCGATTTTTTACGTTTCTCCCAAATGAATTAGTACCGTGCCAACTCGAGTCTCGTATATGATTTAATACCTACAAAAAGGAAAATTAAATGCTTCTTCCCTAACCTCATGCCCTAGATTACTTAGTAAAGTAAGGTCACTCTTTTCCTTGCGACTTTTCTGTCGCTTTCGATTTTGATTGGTTGCCGCCGATCACATGGTTAAATAGTCGCCATTTTATTGACTGGTTTAAACCTTAGAGGAAAGATTTACATTACCCTAATACCTTCTCAAAGGTTTAAACGGTGAAGTTTCATTACACTCGATCTGTTATTTCTATTTCTACTTTTCTTTTTACTTTATTTGTTTCATATTTTTAAATTAATAATAGCAGGTTGTTGCGCATTTATGTGTTCTAATAAGTCAAAATTAGGCTTTAAATAATATGGCTTACCTGTTGAAAATCGCAATAAAGAACAACGAAAAGTAAGGCTGCATAAAATTGGTAGAGATTAATGGACTCCAAACGATACTAAGTACGATATATTTCATATTAAGATAAGCTAAAAAAATAATTGTCTTGTTATATTTGTAACTGCTCCTTATTTTGTTTGCTTATATGGAATTTCGCCTTTTTAGTATTTAAGAAATGTCTATAATGAAAATTTTTATTTGCTTTGGTTTATTTTATAAAAGAATGATGCGTCTATTTCAATAGACTAAGGATTACGGCAAGTATTTTCTCCTTTAAAGATTTATTATAACATTATTCTCTCTCTCTCTCAACTCAGTGGCACGACAGCCCATAGAGGGCCAAGGTCTACTGTGTCCATCTCAGTTTTCTTGACCTTGGGAGCTGGGGTGCAGAAGCAGATGTTTCGGTTAGGTGGTCAGGAGGTTGGCGAGCGTTAGCGAGCAGGGGGCGCAGCCCACTAGTTTATTATAATACGTTTTATAGGTACTTTTCCATTTCGCCGGCGTAGGTGATCAATTCGCCTATGAAAAGTCACCAAGTGCAAATAATCAACTGTTTATATATGTTAACTTAGTATTTTAAAAATTAACCATCAATTTTGAAATATTTTTCGATTTTGTTATCTGAATCTAAAATGTTAATTAAGATGTCATTTTAAATTCAACTAATTATACTTAAAAGCTATTTTTTTTTCATAAAAAACCAAACAACAATTGGTATTGATTAAGAAGAAAAATATTTGAACTGTCGGGGGAAAAAAAGCTTTTTCTTCACTGATAGTAATGTTCATAATGATTTATATCCCCAAATTAAACCACTCTTTCTTTGAATCTCATAAAGAAACCGGATGCAAATAATTTCAGAGTTAGGAAAAAAAAAGTTATAGCGAATTATGAAAGACGAAAAGGGAAAGTTTTAACTTATAAGGTATTATTTTCACTGAATATAATGAAAATAAAACATATAATTTCGAGAGAGAAAAAAATTAAGGAATAAATAGTAAATATTTATGTTATCTTCAAGAATATGAAAGAACTGATCAATGAAAATTGGCATTTAAGAATAGAAACTCCGTGTTTCTACATCGAGATTTGCTTCATGAGAGAGTTGCGGTCACCAAAATGGCGGCGTGTCGATACTTAATTTACGCATCCAGGGCTTTACCCTAACTGACGGAGAATTGAAGCAGATTGGAATTGGATTAACGTAAAAATGGCGGGACAAACAGCCTCCGGGGGAATCGATAAAAATCCGATTTGGACATTTTTGGTTATCAATAATTTAGTTTGAAACTTAATGTACATATGATTTTCCTTTGTGTAGTTTTTTCACGTGTGAAAATTACTGTAATCATCGGAAATACATCCAACTTGAATTACTTCAAGTACCATTTCGTCATTAGTTTCGGTTTTTCGAACATAGCTTATTTTTTATTTCACTTTGTACCTATTTCCAAAATAATTTAAGCATCAATGGCGTGAAAAATAGTATGCTAATTTTTCAATTTCCGCTTAAATGAATTAGTACTATATCTCAATTTTGTTTTTCAGAACATAACTAATTTTTTGTTTCAATAAGGACTTATTACCAAAAGCGTTATTGTCGTCAATAATAGTAAGGCAATTTCATACGAACGAAATAGTGAAATTTCTCCCATGAATTTTGCTTTTTCGTATTGACTTAATTTTTCATTTCAATAGCCGGAAAAAAAATGATTAAATATTACGTGCTCTAAACTCTTTAATTACTTACTTATAAACTCTATTTTTTTTTAATGAAATAGAGCTATAAGCTAATAAACGTCACTGATTTTACCTTTTTTTAAATCTATATATATAAAAATAAATCTCTGTTTGTCTGTGTGTGGCGACCGCCACCTATCGTTAAATACTTTCACTGCGCTGAAACCGTTTACCAGTTGTCGCGTGCAATCATTATCTAGCCACGCGCTTGCTTTTTATATAAGAAAAACATTATCGTTCTTTTTCTTGCCATTTTTTACACATCTGTTATATTTAATAATAAAACTTGTTAAGTTTGTTTGTTATGTGAATTCGTGATTATTGATAAGTTAATTCACCTTCTGATCCATACTTACTACTTACTACACGAATTTACATGTGTATGATTTTTTATTAACTCATTAACCGTCCCATCGAAAACAATGAAATTTGGCATAGAGATAGTTCGAAGCACAAGGAAGGTCACAGTCAATATTAGAGCATTCTAAGACAAACCGTTTAAGCAAGATGAGCAAAAAACGAAATGGAATTTTCTGATTGATCATTGTTTTAAATTTAACGATTCAATTTTTCACATATTTTTAAGATAACATCAGTGATAATTGCTAGATTATAGCTCTATTTGATCAAAAAATATTTTACTGCGCGAATTTAAATATTTAATTATTTTACATTCACAATTTCAGATAAATTAAATGAACAATATTGCGTGGTAGCAAACGTCGCCTACGTGACCCAAATTCATACTTTTGAAGTTGTCCGGTAACACAGGCTTTTTTATATTTTTATTTATATTTGTCATTTTAAACGTGTTTAAAAATGCTTATTTAAAATCAACTGTAATGGAACAGAAAAAAAATATTTATGTATTCAAAAGCAAAATTAATGGGAAAGTGGTATTAATTTATTTAGGAGAAACGTAAAAAATCGACGACTATGATGCTCAGTTACGCCTATCATTTTTAACGCCAATGATGCTCAATTAAATTAGGTGATATATGAAATTAAAAAAAATAATCCTTATACTGGAAACCAAAAGTAAAGGAGTAGAGGTATTTATTTGTCTAGAAGAACCGTAAGAAATCATCGTGCTATAATTGACGACAATGATGCTAAATTAATGTTTTTAATATGTATTAAATGAAATTAAAAGTAAAAGCTTATGTACTAAAAAGGGTAAGTAATGGAGAAAAGATATTTATTCGTTTTGGCTACCCTTAAAAAATCTGCATATTATTATTGACACTAATGCTCAATTAATATTAATAATATGAATGAATTAAAATAGAATAAAATAACTTATGCGCTTAAAAGCAAAGTTAATGGAGAATAGGTTATTGGGGAATTCGTTTAGGAAAACCGTAGAAAGTTGTCATTCACAAATGACGCTTAATATAATGTGACCGTAATACTGGTATTATGATTAAATGGTGCAGTTTTATTAAGAATTCTACAACGGATTTTCCGTAGTTTCAGAAAATATTTTTTCAAGGAGTAGCTAAGTTAGTGAAGTAATATTTTAATGAATTAGAAATAAAGAACTTTTTCTACTACTATTTAGAAATGTTTTAACAGTATAAATTAAAGATCAGATAGAGAAATGGACATGTTCTAAAATCCTTATCAAGTTCCAATAAGAATTCTATTTTTTACTTTTTTTAAAAAAAGAAATCGGCTGCCAGATGTATTTCTCATAAAACTCAAATGTTGAAGAGTTATGTAATAAATACCAAATATACAAATTTAGGTATGAAATATTACATTGATATATTTGGAGATTATTAAAACTGCACTAATACTAAGCAGTTTTAAAACCGATACTTTGGAAATAAATGTTTTTCGGCCTCTCTTCTTAGTAATGTGATAGGGATATCGTGGTAAAATTTGACTATCATGAATTGGCCGCGAGCAATAACATCATGCCAAGATGTATTTTATCTTTATTCCAATGGTATGAACCACAAAAAAAACGAGCTTTGCTTACTTCAATGAAGTAAAACCACCGAATATTGCAGCATATAATATTAAATAAAAACATTATTTTAGCTATACGAATTGAAAAACTTAGCAGAAGAACCAGGTAAGTGACATTTTCAGATCGAAAATAAAAGGTATACGAATTATTTTATTACCAATTTTTTAGAGAGGGGGACTAATAATTCGTTGCTTTATTTTATTTACCACTGCGTAATTTGAAATAAAAATCATACACGTATACTAAAAACTGATGTGATTAGTTGTTTTAAGATTAAAGTAAAGGCAGAAACAGTTCATTAAGCACATCCATATTGATGCAACCAGTTTTTGGTATTTTCTTTGAACATGATTTCGTAGTGTTTGTAAGTGCTAATTTATTGACTCTTTACTTATTTTTAATACACCCCGTGCGAATTCAGTTGGTATTTAATGAAATAGAATCATCTATAGTTTAATTTAAAACAATGGCTAAGACTAAACGAATCAAAAAAAATTTCGTTCTTCGCTCATATTGCTAGCACGGTTCATAGTATAATGTTCAAAAGTCGACAGTGACCATCCCCGTGCTTCGAATTATCACCATGCCAAATTTCATCTCTCTCAGTCGAATGGTGTCGGAGTCTATAAAGAACAGTTGGACATTTTGCATAGATAAATTATAATATTTGATTTACACTCCATTCACGCATAAAATCTTTATAGCTTCGAAACTATTAGTTTTGTTTACTTAATTTCGATTTTATAGGATTTTATCTTTCCTTATGACAATGTCAGGTGACGGACGTAAAAGACAAAACTGTACTAGTTTTACATGAAAACTATTAAATCTTAAACGAAAAATACATTGGATACAATGCTTCATCAAGTTCATCTTTCTCTTCCCCGCACTTTCTGAGGAGAAATGAAAATGCTCCAATCTCTTAAAATCGTGTTCATACCGTTTAATAAAAAGGATAAAATTTTATCTTTTTTATCACAGTGAGCATTTTTCTCCCTAGACCACTTCACTATTTCAAAAAAATATTCTTTTTCGAAAACAAACAAACAACATGGTTATACTGTCATAAAACCATGGGGTTAGTTGAGGGAAGCCAGCTAGGAGGGGCGCCTCCTAGTCATGGCTTGCAGGCCTAATCATCACCTCCTAGAACTGAAACTAGGATGAACTTCCTAGGACTAGGAAGTGATTGCCTAAACCCTAGTCTTATAAAAAAGAAAAAACTAAATCTCCGTTTTTAAGCAAACAAGCATTATAACGGATGTTTATAAACGGGAATTTTTATTCATAAGTCTAAAAAAATTTTAATAAAATAATTGATTTTAAAAATCGTTACCGATAAGGAAAATACGCGCTTTTTACGTTTATATACTGTCATATATATATATATATTTAAATTTTTTTTTATCCCAGCGGCACTTGATGTGTACATTATTCGCTGGAGTGAAAAAAACACTCAGCACAGACCCATAAGGAATAACAACAAATTAAAAAAAATAAAAACATTAAAACATTCGAAATACAAAAGCAAGTAGAACAAAAAAACATTGAATAGAATATCAATAATAGAAATGTAAACAGAAAATCAGTTAGTTAGCAGTGCCTGCAACTGTTCCCTAGCATTCCCGTATCTGTCATTGATGTTGCCAGTAACTGTAAGGTAAATCCGCAGATGCTCAGCATTCATCCCCGCACAAGACACAGTTTGGATCGGGAAAGATCTTAGGTCTACATGGAGGTGAGCGGCAAGGCAGTCGTGTCAGGTTTCCAACCTAAAGGCAGCAACCGCCTTGCGTCTCGGGTGACCAGGGATCTTATTTAGAGTCTCCCTCCAGACCTTGTCACCAGTTTGTTCATTTAAATTATTTTCATAACTCTTATTTATCGTGTTTTTAATTATTCTACTTGCGGAACAGTAAAGAAATTCTCTTTGGGAGCTCTGTAAAATAACAGTTCCTTTTTTAGCTAGCAGATCTACCATCTCGTTTCCATAGATAGTACAATGAGAAGGAATGCACTGTGACACAATATTCTTTTTTAAGAACAAAAGTAGCCCAAAATTCTCTTTACAACTCTTAATTCCAAAAGAGTCTGAAAAATCAACAGATGTTACAGCTTGGATTGCCGAGATGGAGTCAACAAATATAACGACATTCTCTATGTCATCCATAAAATATAAATAATTAGAAAACTATTCAAGTAATATAATAGTTTATAGTACTAAAATAATATATCGAAATAGTTTAAATAAACGCAACAGATTTTTCACCGTTTTATTTTAATTTTAAAACAAAACTAAATAAACCAACTAACATCTTCCTTTTAAAAAAAATATATATTTAACTAATAGTTTTGCTATATTTTTACCACCATAAATATGCGATTAAACTGTTTAAAAGGAAAACAAGATTACGAACCCAGAGAGATATTTAATGGATATTACTGCTCACCGGCAATATAAATGCTGACTAAACAACATAATCAGACAAATAAATAAAATAAAAAAAATGCAACTATCACAATCGCAAACAAACAAGTGAAATAAAAGAAAAACAAGACAAAAGGCAAGCCAAACTCACATTGTTTCGGCTTTCTCCTCTTTCATTGCAGTAGTGGGCTACTGGTGTTCGAGGAGACATCCTGAATTCTTAAACACAAACAGGGTTATTCACTTAAGAAGCAGCAACACCTAGCAACGGTCCAAAACACAGCAACTGTTACCCAGGAGATGACGGGCAGAAGTGGGTCAGCGGGTAAAGAAAAAAGAACTTAAGAAATATTAAAAGGGACAGAGAGAGTATTACTAATAATTAAGAAAGGTTCGCCAAGGTTTTTCTCATACATTTCTTACCAATGTTCAGTGCAATCTTTACGCATGGGCACACACCGCAGTACCCGAAAGCCCTTGAGAATCTTATTTTTTATAAATTGTATATAAAAAAAAACAAGAATGAACAAATTTGCTTTATATATTTTAAAAAATATATATAGGGTATCTGCACATCTGGAAAATCATGAAAAATCATGGATTTTGGTATTGAACAAAATTTATTATGAAATGTCTTGATTTAAAAAAGTTTTTTTTTTTTTTTAATCATGGAAAATCATGGATTTAGGTCACCGAAAAATCTAATTTTTAAAATGGAATTTTTCTTCCCCCCTTCCCCCCATTTCACAGTGTTTTGATGTTCGGAATATTCTAAATTTGTAACAAAAACCCCACTCACAGTCATATTTTATTAAAATATGAAATTTTTTTATTAAGTTCTTTAAAATTTATGGTGTTTCAAAAAATGAATTGTTTCAAAATTGTGAATGGCGTTGTTTCAAAAATTTTTACATCATTTTTAGAGCGAATTATCTTTTAAACTTCTGTGATTTCAGAATTTTATTTATTTATTTATTATTTATTTATTTAATCAATTTAAAATTCTAGCTAAAGCCATTCATTGATGAATTTTTCTTATTCTGAAATGAGAACAGAAAAATTACTAGTACTTCTTTCCTTGCAGATGAACAAGAAAAGTATCTTCAGAATATTATAATTCTACATAAGAAAAAAAAATTTTTTTTTCGCTTTTGTATTTTTTTAGCTATTTAATTGCTTCAACTCTTTCTTTAAATTTAAAATCCATAAATATGAAGATGTAGACTACAACAGTTTTGGTTATACCTATCTTATTATGTTATTATCTTATTAAGTTATTATATTACATGCAATTTATGCTATTATAATACTTTTTTTTAATTAATTGTTGTGTTTTTGTCGGAGAAATTAGTAACTTCGTTGAGAATTAGTAACTTCCTTGGAATTAGTCATGGAAAGTTTGAAAAGATTTGAAAATCTAAAATGTAGCAAACACCATATAAATATATTTTATTGTATAAAGTGTGCATTTTCCTTTTCTTTCTACAAATAGTGATTAATTATCATGCAAATAACAATAATTTGAATAGTTTATCACTAGAAAAACTCAAAAAGGCAACCAAAGTTTATTTTTTTACGTTCCACTGAAGTGTTTATGTGAATTGAGTTTTTTTGGATAATCAAAACGTGTTTGAATTTCTTACAATTATTGCTTACCTTAAAAATGCTTTATTTTGTATATGTGAAGTTTTTTAGTTCTATTTTAAACAGTATGACATGTTATATGGCCCAAAACATTTCTATGCCCGGGGGACCTGCATACTATTAAGATCGCCCTGAAAATGTTGAAGCAATCATTTCTTGATTATAGTTTCCTCTCCCATTTTTCAATTCCTACTATTAGTTCGCGCTCTCCCTATATCTTGTTCAAATTTTCAATCGTTAATAAAATACTTTTTATTCATTCACTCCAGTTCAAATTCATTTTTTTTTTGAACTTGTAGTTGATGATGCTTGATGTTAATACAGTTTTTTCCAGATATTAATTCATTAATTGAAGAGCGAAAAATGAAATAGAATTTTCTGACGGTTAAGTGCTAGTCATTGTTTTAAATTTTACTTTAAGCGATTCAGTTTTTCACATATTTTAAAAATAACATCAGTGATAATTTCTAACTCATAGCTCCACNATTTTCAATCGTTAATAAAATACTTTTTATTCACTCACTCAAGTTCAAACTCATTTTTTTTGAACTTGCAGTTGATGATGCTTGATGTTAATACAGTTTGTTCCAAATATTAATTCATTAATCAAATAGGGATGAGCGAAAAACGAAATAGAATTTTCTGACGGTCAAGTGTTGGTCATTGTTTTAAATTTTACTTTAAGCGATTCAGTTTTTCACATATTTTAAAAATAAGATCAGTGATAATTTCTAACTTATAGCTCTATTTGAGCAAAAAAATAGTTTATTGCGTACATTTAAATATTTAATTAATTATATTTAATTAATTAATTTTAGTTTTATATGGATGAAAAAAAAATTATTATTTTATAAAAAGTTATTAAATTAAAATTTTTCTCGGTTGACCACAGTAGGAATTGACTTTAAAAATATTTTTTTATATTGCTTGTTACTAAGATTGTTGTAGTTCATTTACGTCGCACTAGAGCTGCACAATGGGCTATTGGCGACGGTCTGGGAAACATCTCTGAGGATGATCCGAAGACATGCCATCGCAATTTTGATCCTCTGCAGAGGGGATGGCACCCCCGCTTCGGTAGCCCGACGACCTTCACGCGAAGTCGAGCACTTTACGGTAGCACAGTTTAACGAGGACCAATACCGCACACCCTCGGTCCCTACGCAGACTGATCCAAGTGGTCACCCACCCGATCACTAACCGCAGCCAATGATGCTTGACTTCGGTGATCTGCTGGGAACCGTGTCTTAACGATAAGTCCACTGAGGGACTGTTACCAAGAAGATCTCCCATTCATTGTTTCCACGAGGGCAACAAGAATAATAAAAAAATAATTAAAAAAATATGGAAAAATTCTAATATATATAGTAAAAAAATACTAAAAAATAATAGTAAAAAAAATTCAAGAATAATAAAAAAAGTTACAGAAGAAGCCTGCACTTTGTTAGATTTTGGAATTTTATCTAGATTAGGTTTGTAATATTCTGGGGCTCCGAGTTCATTCTTACCTAACCCTCTACCTTTGAGCAGATAATGTACCAGATATTAAAAAATTGCATTTTTAAAAACTCTCAAGAATCTTTTGATTTCTCTGGAACTATCCATCCGATTTCGTAGAAATTCGGTATTTTGCCACTTAAAATTAATACTTTAAAAAGGTGTAAACATTTTTATACCTTAAAATTCGATATGCCTATGACTATAATTAAAAAATAATAATAAATAATTATTACAAGTATTTTTTATATGGAATTGTGCAAAAAGCAAATTAATTCGCGTAAAAAGATCGCGAGATTGAACGTAACGCGCAAGAAGCGAAAATAACATAAACTAGTTGAAAAACAGATACGTTTATTTAGAAATATATGGTTTTGTAGTATCCCCTGAATGAATTAATTAGCCGATTTAGAGACGTGATGGCTCAAGAGATAGAGCGTTCACCTTCTAATGAACCGGGTTCGAACTATGCTAAAATATTATGATGGTTAACCGCCAGGAGAAATTTGTTTCTCATGCACTAATAAAATCCATGATGATCCGTGATGGTCCCAACTTTACGTTTGCATGATGGTTTAATGGGAATTTTTGTACTATGGAATATACCATCAAAACAATTTGGGTTTTTAATGTTGGCTCCTCATAAATCAATCCGAATTCCTACATTGGGGAGAGGGTGGTTCATGAGCCTTCCAACATTTGATTTCTAAGAAGCTATGATGAAATTTCACGATGGTACAACAGTGCATTTCCATGATTTGTTTTATAATAATTCCTGTTGGTTCAGTAAGAATATGTCAACAAAACAAGTTGCTGTTCTTATGTTGGGCCATCAAAAATATAATGGTTCATGATAGAATTATTGATAACCACTATCAAGATTATATTGATCCATCAATGGAAAACCATAAAAATTTTTGATTTTTTTAAGAATAGTAATAACATAATAGATAAAAGCATGATAGATTAAATTATGTAAGGTATATCACATCAAATTCTGTGCATTTCAATCTTTATGTTTAAGAATCTGGATGCAAATTGCTTAGTACAAAGAACCTGTGAGGGGGAACGAATATTTCAAAAAGTGTTAAGGAATTTATGAGAAAACATACTTTTATTTGAAGTTATCTCTGTCAGAAGTAAAAAAGAAGCTTTCTATTCGCATCAATCATGTTATTAACGTAGGTGGATTACTTCAGAATTGACAAAATTGTTCTAGTCATAAACACATACTGATTCAATTAATGTCTATCTTCTAAAGCTTATATACTGATCATTATAACAATATATATGGACACTGAAATCCATACTTATAATGGTAAATACTTAATAATGAGTTAGTTGAGCTTCCCGATAAAAATACTTATAAACCCTGGTGAGGAATCGAAAATTTGTTTGCATTTAAAGAAATTCAAGCTGCTCCTTTATATATACATTTTATTACTGTAACTAAAAGAATAAAAAAATAGAAGCTTCTTTAAAAATAAAAAAAAGCATAAGCTGGTGCGATTCTTTTCGATAGTGTTAAAAAATTAAAAGAAATTAAATGAAACTACACTGACTGCAGGCATTAAACACGCATGGAAGAGTGAATTGATTATAGAGCGATTTCTGATTTACTTCTAGAATTTAATAATGAAGGATGTTAACCAAAGACAATAAATTTGGAACTTCTTGATGATTTCTCCAGAGGGACATTTGGAAAACATCTCAGTGATACTTTTGTGTATTGGCTGATAGATCTACTAAACTGATTGTGCAAGATATGTTGAAAGAGATGTTTTGCTATATGACAATCGACGTTGATGATACACGAAGACACCTAATTTATCCAGAAAGGTTGGATTATTGTCAAACTGCCTTGCCTTCGCAAGATTATCTTCTTCGGCATGCACAGCCCTGAAGGCATGTAACCTTACGGCAACCATGTGATGGAATTATTTTTTTTTTATTGTCATGAAAATGCTTGTACTAAAAACCTTTTTTTTAAATAAAGCAAAAATATTGCAATTTCAAACCTTTCATCCTAAAAGCTTTTTTAAAATGTATTGTCACTTAGATAAAATGGTCACTGATGTCCATAATGACGTTTTAGTTGACGTCAGCGATAGGATCAAATTGCATTGATCCTATCGCACGATAGGATCAAATTGCAATTGGATCAAATTTCAAGACAAGGTGGATTTCAGTTGAGC